CTGCGCCTGTGAAAGGCATCCACGGACATTGAGGCCCCCCCTGGCGCGGTGCTGCAGCGGGTGCTGCGGGAGCGGCACCTGTGGGACGAGGACCTGCTGCATAGCAGGGTGGTGGAAGCCCTGGACCAAGACATGGAGGTGTACCACTACGTGACGGACAGCATGGCCCCACACCCACGCAGGGACTGCATGGTGCTCCGGTGAGCCCGTGGGGCCCAGGGGCCGAGCGCGGATCCCCTCCGGTCTCGGCTGCTCCTCCCGGGCCGTGGGGGCTCTGACCCCACTCTAGGCAGGAGCTGCCCCCGGTGGGCACGGCGTGACGGCCGCTCCGTCCCGCAGGTGCTGGCGCTCGGCGCTGCCGCGGGGAGTCTGCCTGCTCATCTCCCTCTCGGTGGAGCACGACAAGCTGCCGGTGGAGGGAGGCGTCAAGGCCGTCGTGCTGACCTCCCAGTACCTGGTGGAGCCCAGTGCCATGGGCCGCTCCAGGGTGACCCACATCTGCAGGGCTGACCTCAGGTAACAGCCCCCAGGGCTGCCAGGGAGGTGACAGGAGCAGGGAGTGGTGGGACACTGGAGCTGCTTGTCCCACTGCACATTTAACCTGGATGTGGGGAGTGGTAAGACACTGGAGCTGGATGTGAGGAATGGTGGGACACTGGAGCTCCGTGTCCTGCTGCACACCTGGCCTGAATGTGGGCAGGGTGGCAGCTCCCACAGCACAATCCCTACCTGTCCCAAGGGAAGGGGTGCTGGGCTGGGGCCAGGGCTTACCTGCCAGGTGGATATGGGCATGGAGCCTTTTGCTCACTCAGACCATGTTGACAGTTCTGGTGTCTCCAAGGCAGTAGCAAGTCCCTGGATGCTTCTGTAGGGATTGTGTGGTCCTGCGTGGGTCTGGAGCATGGCACTGGTGCTCCTGAGCAGCGCAGGGGTGCGAGGGTGGGCGGATGGGAAGGGGCAGCACAGGTATCCCCTGCTTTGCCATGTGTACAGGGGAGGCAGATCCCTGTCCTGGTGTGCAGTGCTTGTTCATCACCTCATCATCCATCCCTGTGTGAGCTGTGCCAAGGGCCTGTCCCAGAGCAAGGTGTGATGTGCTGCTCTGTGGCAGTTGCCAGACTCCCCTCTACCTGCTCACCCCTGTCCTCCTGCCTCTTCCCTTCTCCAGGGGCCGTTCTCCTGAGTGGTACAACAGGGTCTTTGGCCACCTCTGTGCCATGGAGCTGGCAAGGATCCGAGACTCATTCCCGGCCCTGAGTCCCAACGGCCCAGAGACGAAGATCTGAGGAACCAGGGAGATGAGATGCTCTGTCCTGTCTGATATGGACTTGGCTCCAGGCTGTGGCTCTCAGCAGGGAGCACAGTGTGGGCAGTGCCCGTGGAGGGGGAGGCAGAGTCACATACTTATTATCATCCTTTCACCCTGGGCTGGGCACGCACTGTCCCACCAGCTTGGTCACCGCTGGAGCACAGTGGGGCAGGGCAAAGCCTGTGCCCCCCAGAGGGGTGGGCGAGCAGAGGGGCTGTGGGGTGACCCCACAGCCTGGGGCAGGAGCTGGGTCCCCCCACAAGAGCTGGAGGGGTGAAGGAGCAGGCAGTGGGGCAGGAGGAGTGGGCAGGGAGGACAGTGCTGTGTCCAGAGGTCGCAGTGCTGTGTCGGGACGTGGAGGGTGTGCAGTGAGGGTGGATGTGGTGTGTGGTGTCACCGAATGGGGACAGCCACAGAGTCACTGTTGGGTGGTGGAAGAGGCTGCTGTTCTGGGAGAAGGGAGCTGCCTATAGATGTATAGGTACAGCTCGAGGACCAGCCCCTGTTGAGGGACAGAAGGAACCTGTTGCAACTTTGGCATTGAATTCATGGAAGAAAGAGCTCTGTACTATTGGATCATCTTCCTTGGCTGGAAGAGCACTGGGTGTCAGTGAGGAGGTGGATGGACAACGTTCCAAGCCACCCCCATCCCTGAAAACTAGCTGAGCCGTTGTTTGGATGGGGCAGGGCATGTCTGGAGCCCCAGAGCAGCTGCCCCTGAGTGGGCTGCACACGGGGAAGAGGCAGTGCCTGGAAGGAGACACTGTGGGAGAGACTCCCCAGCACAGTAGCTCCCCATTCCTCACTGCCACCAGGGCTCAGTGCTGTGCCCAGAGAGGAGGGCAGAGCAGCACCAGAGGCTCTGCAGCAGCACTGGGGGCTGAAGGCACTGAGAAGACGATGCAGCAGAGTGTGGCTGCCCAAGCTGGGCCCAGCTCAGACCCTCCTGGCTGACAGGAGGGGCAGTTGTCTGGGATCCCTCTGGGGCCCCCCACGGGGGCAGAGCCCCATGCCCCATCCCTGCAGAGATGTCCATTCCCCTTCCCATCCCTCCCTTCCCTCTCAGCACCCAGGAGATGACCTGGTTTCTCTGTTCAGGCAGGGACCCAAATTCCCAGACATCATTCCAGCTGGAAGGCAATGGAACCCACACACTGGGGACCCTCAGTGTCCGTTTGGCCCTAAGACATCCTGTCTGTCTCTGATGGAAAGAAGCACAAATCACCCTCTAGTCTGTGTTTATATATATATGTATGTGTGA